AATATTTCAAAGCACAAATAGATTATGGTAGTTTAGTCGCACTCATACGCTAGAGTTTTAAATAAAGCCCGCATGCAAGTAGATGATAAGAGTAACAGAGTAATCGCAAGTACAAATTTTGTAAATTCAGCTCGGGTCTTGTACGCATTAATTTTTGCCTGTATGTTTATATTTCACAACGGCCAACAGTATGTTTTTCATAACTCTTTCTTACTCATATTCTTGTACGCACAGACACACACATAGTATTTACAGTATGAGACGAATACAGACTCAACATACTTATTCGTTGGCATAAGTGCTTCATGCAAAGTCATTTGTGCGTGCATGCAAGATTTACATGTATATAACCACTTCAGATTATATAAAATATGTATAGATATATGCGTTTTGTGCAATCAGTAGCGCATTCATATGTATTGCTTCTGCATTGCCAACTCAATTTTGCATAAATATCAGTTGCTAGCATGAGCATGTTTTTTTTTCACCAATACCGTGCCGTAGTGGGTAGTCGTCCACTCCGTCACGATATATTAATCAAACACTGAAGTATAAGCCTTTTTTAATTAGCCATACTTACACTTAGAAGAAGAGTTAGTCGATAGAAGAAAACCTCGACTTAATAGCATGTTGTTTGTTGATCATCTTGAAATCCTGAACATTGGTGTTGATCTTAAGAGTTTTGATTTATTTCTGCTTGATAAACAATAATCACTACAAAAAGCAATTGCTGTGTGAGTGTGGTTGACGAATAAACCTACGCGCTTTACTTTCTTTCCAATGATAATTTGACATTTTATGAGAGATCATTTTAGCTGAATTATTATAACCTAATGAAAATGATTGTAGATTTGACAAAGAAAGGATCTTGTCGAATTTGGTAACCACATCTGAATCGAATAACTAAATATACTGTCTTGTAAAGCAGTGAGAGACGCATCGAATAGCATATAGGAAGTTATGTTTTAGCCACCTTTTATGAAAGTTGGAACCAATTTACTACTAGTGGAATATAATCCCGAATTGCGACTAGTGACTTATTAATGTAGATCCCAGTTCAATTGAAAGAGTTTATAGAGAGATCTTTCTAATATAACTTTTTGTAGAACTTTTCATGGAATATAAGCTGTGCAATCTCTTTTCTGATTCGATCACGCTCCCTTTTTCAAACCTATTGTCATACACATGTTCAACGATCAAAACTGAATCAAGTAAAAATTTTTGTCTAATAATCCTACATGTCATTATAATCTAAGTATTGATCTTCTTATAAAAAATTCTGGTGAAATATATTATTGAAGCAGAAATCACTTTTTGTAAATTCACTATAATAGATAGATTGCAGGTCTATTTCTAACGATATGATTGGCTGTTTACAGTATAATCTATTTCTATCTTTTGTTCCTTTTATTAAAATAGTATATTTACTTATTTGATTCAGATGTAGTCGCTAAATTCAACAGGATCCTTTCCATAAGTGAATCTCAATGTGTGCCGAATCGGCTCCAACACTGAAATCGCTACTTTTTATATCAAGATATCTTCAGAACTTAAATTGTGTTCCATTTAATGAGGAGTTTTCATGGTAAACTATACAGCTCATATCAGAAATAATTGTAGTGTGTTAGCATCTATACAAAACCGACGTGTAAAATACATTCATTACATATATTTTAAATTGATTTATTATTGAAAAAGGCTTTTAGTGAACTCTACGAAAACTTATTCGATTGAACTCTAAATGAGCACTCAAGGATTTTAAAATCAGAGGACTTCATATATTGAAGTGTTTTTGTAAGCAAAAAAGAAAAATAATCGAAAAGATATTTTTTGTCTTGTTAGTCAATAGTGATTACTAATTTGCTGAATTAGTCATTTGTTGTTGAAGTTTTTGATTCGATTTCTTTATGACGGGAATTTTTCATTTGATTGAATGTATTGAGACACACCTTGCAAATTTCTTCGACATGACGACAATCTGTTCCACAGCATCCGCCGATTACATTCAAGTTCTTGAGTTTGTATAATAGAGCTCGATTATGCTCAGCAAATTCGATTGGATTTCCTGAATCAAGTTCTTTACTTTTTTCGAGCTCAGCATGACTTTTTTTCGAAGCATTGCCTTTGACACTATGAATTCTTGATACCCAAGCTTCACCAGGGATCAAAACATGTTCAAAATTGCTCGGATGTGTACAGTTGATCATGTAATAAATGGGTGAATTCTGAGTAGCGTTATCCACCGTCTCAATGGCTTCTTTTAGAGTGTGTCCTGCCGGTAATCTATCATTTGCTCCAACAATAAACGATATCACAACAGGAATGCTAACTGCCTTGGCAGCTTTTGCGATTCCGATAGCTTCTTCAGGATAGTTAATTGCCAGAGCTGTGATCATATCTGCATTGGTTTGACTGATAATACCAATTTGTGTCGCATGATATGCTTGCGCTTCTTCAATTGACATCTTTGTGGTAGGATTATATGCATCACCACGTGGACCAACACATGCATTAATAACTATCGGACAATTTTCAGTTTCGTATTCCTTACGAATGTCGCAGAGTAATTCAATAGCCTTGCGGTTCACAGTTGCAACATCTTGGTCAGCATAACCGATTTTTCGCATCCAATCTGGACTGGCACGCCATGTTGGGCTTTCCAAAATTAATCCAACGTCATATTTTCGGGCAACATTGGCAAACATGCTGAGGTAGTTTTTCATCCATTCGTATCCAGCTTCAGTCTTCAACACATCGAACGAAGCGAAGCAAGGAAGTTCAACATGTTCACGATAGACAAGAGCAGTCTCTAAGCCACCAGTAGTAATGAAGAATTTATCGGAGAGTTGTGGCAACGCGTTTCTATATTTGGCCATAACTATGACTAAACAAAAAATCACTGATGTTATTAAAACTTTACTTAACAATATTTCCAAGGCCAAATAAAAGCATTTCTTATAATTGCCTGCAATTAGTTGCTTTCAAATCGATGTTATAGTTTGAGAGAATATGATCGTTGGATATCTGAACACTGAGTTTTCAGTAGATGAAACATTCGCCCGTTAAGTAACGATTGAAACAATTCAAATTATTTTATTGTATTATAGTGTCAATATTTAATTCGGTAGAAATACAGAGAAAAAATTTATTTCAAACGATAAAGTCATGTTCTTTTGTGAATCTTTCTTGAACGGCAGCAAGATGGGGAAATAATCACTTTTTCTTTGTATCGGGTTACTCCAAAAAGAAATGACTCTAATATTGGTTGAGTACTGAGTTAAAATACAGTGTTCAGTTCTTAGCTCTTGATATGCAAATTTACTAGACTATGATTAAACATGGCAACAAAATCATAGGAATGTCTTGCGCGGATGATCGAGTCAAATCATAGAAGATAATTGTCAACATAGGATTCATCATTGACGATGATCTTCGAAGATCTATTGATTTGCAACAAAGAAACTAGATTTTGTAGATTTCCTCAGACCAAAAAAACTACACAATAGAAGTCTCTCTATGATCATAGTTCACTTAAACAAACAATGTAACATGTGTCATATTTAAAAAAAAGCTCCTAATCGAACGTCCCGATATTAGAATAGAATTTTATCAGGTACCTGAACTACAAAAAAATCAATAGGAGATCTGTGTCTGCATACCAAAGGTGTCAAAAAAGCAAAATGAAAGCAAATTTTTTTGTATATGGTTAGATAGAACATGATGAGTGGATCAAGAATGTATGTGTTTTCATTTTATTGAAATCTGTTTTTAAGAGAACAATTTCACTTTTAATTAGTGACCTACTTTTTCTCAAAAAAGAAGTCAACAGGTTTTTGTTTCATTTAAATTTTAGAACTGTTTGTTTTATATTTACTGTGAAAAACTATATCTAGAAAGTCATTTATAAATGCTTGTCCTAGATTCATTTTTTTGCTTTAAACCTGAATAAACTGTTCTGAAATTTGAGTGAAACAAAAATAAACTGATTTTTGTTTTATTTTTTTTTGAGAAAAACTAGATCACTAGTAAAAAATGACATGGTTTTCTTAAAAATTTATTTCAAAAAAAATAAAAGCAACATTTTCTTAATTAGCTCGTCGTATTTTATGTAACCATATATAAAAAAAATAAAATTCAGTGTTAATTTTGCATTTTCAACATCTTACCTTCAATTCAGTATTAAAATAATAATTACTGCTTGCGACTCTTTCTCCTTCGAAATGATGCGTGTTACGGTTGAAAAAAACGCACATGAAACTAAGGCAAGTAAAATATGCTTCTTATCTATTACTTGAATGCATTTTATAGTATGCAATAGAGAAAGTCGAAAGAACGATACAGAATAAAAAAAGCATATAACGCATGCGCAAACAGCAAAACGATGGGTCAAAACGCATACTTAGGTGAAAAAAACTACCCAAGTCAAAAAAACTACCCAGGTCAAAAAAATCAGACATCAAGTCTTGTGCGATCAGGTGAAATCGTACAAACAATCCTGGTCTCAGAAATCTTACATCAAATCGCACTATAAGATTCTTATAAGATCTTACCGTGGTATAAAATTTTCTATAATCTTACAGTAATATCTTATAGAACAGAAAGATCTGTCAAGAATCTTAAGGTACGACTTGATGTAAGAATTCTGAGACCACGATTTTTCATCTGATCTTACAAGATCATGCAAGATCAGACGTACGATCATGTAAAATCTTACCGTCTGCTTATTTGACCTGGGTACAAAGAGATCGAATAAGATCTTAGAGGATCTCGTTGACAATCAGATATTGTAAGATTCATCCTGTATAATTTCTACAAAAATGTACAGTTATCTTATCGAGAGATTTAATATGTTTCTTACTATAAGATACCACCATGCACCCCACATAATCCCTGTTGTATAGTTCTCGAAAAATCTTAGGATGAGTATTTTGTAAAATTTTGTATGATCTGATAAGACTATAAATTTAGGTCTTTCTTACGTAAATAATTTTTCTAACGAGAAGTTTTTTTTTTATATGTAGTTTTGAATAGATTATTTTTGTAGTTGAAGTGCATAAATAAAAGAGAAAAAAATAAAAATATCGTATGCTGTTATAATCACAAACAATCAGAGATTAATTTTCACTTTACTTTATTGGTTTTCTCTAGTTTACTACAAAAGACTAGAGTCTAACTAAAAGAAACTAAAAATTTCGGGTTCACTTAAATGTCAAACCTATGATGAATGATACATTTTTTTTAATTTTCAAAACTGTTGAATAGAAGATAAAGTCGTGTTGTTGAATTCTTGGTCAGCTGTTGATATAATCAAAATTATTGACTGTTTATATTAATATACTAATATAGCAAAAAAATATCAAAGATTATTTTTCCAAATCCCTTAAGTTTATTGAAAGGGACACAAAAACAAAGAAAACAACAACAAAAAAGCAATAACAATTCTTATTATTTCTTTGTTCGTGCTTTTTGACGAGCATCTTTACCAGGTCGAGATGATTTTTGTTTGCCCTATAAAAAAAAAAGAAAATTCATAATAAAATAAAATAGAAATGTATAATACAAAACTATACCTTTTTGCCTTTTTGTGCATGAAATGATGGACGTTGCCATTTATTAGATTTTTTATTAAATACGTCCGCTGAACTATCGGCAGTATTTTTCTTGGAATTTTTCTTTCGACCACCAAAACCAAATTTTTTATTTTTATATTCAATTTTACGATTTGTTTTTGAACTATATAAAAATAATATTTGTATTTATGAAAATTTTTTTTTCAAAATTTCTTTAATATTTACTTTCGTTTATAATCATTTTCATTTGATTTTCCAAAATTTTTTTTTCGATCACCAAGAGTTTCTTCTAATTCTTGCATACTACCTTGTTTTCCTATATTAAATTATATAAAATAAAATTTTCTAACTTGTATTTTTCTTTTTTTTTTTATTTAGTTTATATTTTACCTTTTCGAACTTTTTTCATTGTTTTAAGTAATTTTGATTTATCTTCTTGTCGTTTAAGTAAAACTTCTTGTTGAACTTTTTTACCATATAATCTTTGTTCACGTAATTTACGTAATTTTTCACGTTTTTCAATATCAGATTTACGATCAACTAAATATTCTCGAATCTAAAAATCCAAAAAAGAAAAACAATTTTTAAAACTTTACAAAATGTATTTTGACTTTTTTCATATGTTCATCTGATTTGGTCATTTGTGCATAATAATCATCAGGTCGTTTAGTTGAAATTTTTTCTGCTTTTAAACGAGGAATAGCTTCAAGAACAGTTCCTTGAGCTTGACGATAACTAGAAAATACAAAAGAATTTTTAATTGCATTTTTTTTTTTTTTTTGTTTAATAAATTTACAAAAGCATTTCGCGTTTAAAATCATTATCAGCAAGTGTTTCATCATCATTTGTAGGTAAATTAACTTCATTAACAAGTAATGGAGTGTTAGTACAATCGAGTCGTTCAATCCAAGGTAAATCAAGATAGATTTCAGCATATTTAGCAGTAAGTGCTTCCTAAAAGAAAAATATTTCTATGAAATTTGTTTACAAAAGAAAATCTATTAACTTTGTTGTTGATTAATGGTCGTTTAGATTTTTGTTCGACATTTAAACCAGGTTTAAGATGACCTTCTTTAAAAGCTTTTTGAAGCTAAAAAAAACAAAAGAAACAAGCATTTAGATTTTAAAATTTATATTCATATAAAAGAAAATTGAATTTAAACAATATTATCTTATGATATAAGATATACAATAATTCAAATGACTTAGACAGCATGATGTATTGGTGATGAGTCAAAGTTATTCTACTGAGAGTCAAGCTTTCGGAAAAAAAAATCAAAGAGAAACCAAAGCTTCTTTGTTGAATTTTTTTTATAAGTTCTAATACTATGTAATGACTGGGGTTTTATTTCAAGCTTAGGATATTATCTCGTATGAAATCATATCAAAGTGAATATGATTCTATTTCTCTTAGAATAAATACTTGTGAGAATGGTTGATTTTGTTGATTAATATATAAATTAATTTGAACTTACTTCGACATCATCTAACTCACTATCAATATCTTCTTCCATTTCATTATCCGAATCACTAGTCATAATTCAAACGAATAGAAAATCTAAAATGTTTCGAAAAGACAATCTTATTAATTAATCCAAAAAAAAAAGAAAATAGAAAGTCTAAATAACAAATTTTTGTTAATATTTACAATCAAAAAAGAAAGAAAGAACTAAGATAAAATAATTATCTATTCTCATTATTTTCAATATCATTAATAATTTTATCAAGAATACTTTGAATAACTTGATTAAGTAAACGTGTAACTGCATTAGTATTTTTTGATTGTTCAGGTTTTTTTATTTCTATATCTTTTTTTACTATTTGTTGTTGTTGTTGTTTAACTTTCATAAAACTATCATCTTGTTGTTGAAGTTTATCTATTATTTCATAATAAAAATTTATTAATGAATCAATATTATTTTCAAATTCATGTTTATATAAAACATTTTTTATAGCAATCATTGAATTAATTGTATCAGTTAAATACCATATAAAACCATTTCGTGTAATACGTATATGAAAATTTTTTATAATACGATGTAATTGATTTATTAATTGTGATCGTTGTAATTTTTCACATAATATTAATGAACATCGAAGAATATTTCCTTGTTCAATAACACCAAAATCATGTT